GAAGTCACTTGATGCTTAAAACAGCTAGCTCATCACTTTTTTATTAGCCACTCTATTCTTGATTATAGGTAGAGAAAGGTTGTTGTCCAATGAAGAACAGTAAGTACATGTACTACCTCTAGCGTGTTTGTTTATATTGTTGTTGTGTATTGTTTGTTTGTAAATGCACTTGTTTACATCAAGAGTAGCTACTCTTGTTTACATTCACATTAGGTCTGTTAGAGTTTTAATGAGACGTTTTGCAAGGTTCCTTGATGCAGAGACAACAGAAAAACTAATACAGAGTTTTCTGAGTAAATTAATGATACTGTCTGTTGTTATTTAGATGTGGTTTATATAGATGAAAAGAGGTTGATTAAGAGAATCAAGTGTCTTCAAACTTATCGTTGCCTTGGTATCAAAACACTAGCTGGTAAGGAAATCTGTTTAAAAGAAGAAAACCAGTTTATCTTGTTATTATACTGGTCACAGGTAGTGAACTGTATGAAAGGTTAAGAGAGAAGAGAGAGAAAACAAGAGAAAGAATGAAGGCATCACTTGATTTAATAACAAAGAATAACAAGGTAAACTACTAGGAATGCTGGGTGGCAATATAACTTGATCAAAATTTAGTCAATTGCTTCAACAGAACAGCAGAAGTGAGTGCTAATGTTACATTATAAATTTAAATAATGAAACCACAACCTACATAAACAAACATGATTGGGCAATGTTTAACATTTTCTTCTTTGCAGTGCTACTATATCATGTACTAATATTGAACTACAAGGACAACAAGCAATGTGTAGTACTGGTAAAACAAAATACTCATTAACTCCATTAAACATTACATACTCACCCGGTGTGGAGCAACTGGATCATGAAGAGAAACAAGTAAGGATTCATACTAGTGTGTCATTAAATGCCAGTTTGATACTAATTGTTCCCATATTCCTCATATTTTGAGTGAGTGGGAGCAATGGTAATGGCTTCACATAATAGTAACTTTAGTTTCCCTGGATATGTGTGTGTGTTTGTGTTAACTTAGAGCAATCACAGCCGAGACTAATCACAGCTGAAACTAATCACAGCCTTTCTGGTTAGAATAATGTAGTGACACCTTTGCAGCTGCCAGCAGACATATACATGTATAATGCATATCATTCATCTTCTTTGAATTCCTTTTGCAACATGCACTGATACCTCTTCCCTTTATATTTTTATACAGATATGTTCAGTCCATCGTATATTACCTGATGTATATTTACACTGTAAAGGAGTAATGATTGCTGAGAGTAGGAAATGTGGAGGGAAGCTACGTCTGATGGATGCTAGGAAGTTGTGTCGTATTGATGTAAATAAAACTAGAAAGATATATAATCATTTTTTGTCTAAAGAACTTGTACAACCACCATCTTAACTTATTAATACATTAATTTTATTTATTATTTTAATGTGTGTATTTCAGTTCAGCAAAGCCCTGACTAAGGGTTTTAAGTTTGATACAGTCTCAGAGTCAGTGACTATCTGTTTGAGAGCAAGTGTTTGTTTGAGAGTGATAAAAGAGTTTATTTACTAGCTTGTCAGTAGGGATGAGCCTATTATTCCAGCATAATTTTAGGAATAATAGGGGCTTCCTCACATGAGGAATAATTGGATGGAAATAGAATAATAGTGGAATGATGGGTGGAGTTGAGGTCAATGGTGATTGCAGAAGAAAATTAAAAAAATTTTGGCTTGTGTTTCTTGTAAGACCTATTTTTATATAAACACTACTGGAATGCAATTCTTGGGTGAAAATTGATTGTTTCAGAAAAGTATTGAGAATAATAGGATAAAATGAAAAGAATAATGGAGAAAATTATTAAGAATTCCCCGAAAAAATAATGGGACATTTTAATGAGTCACCCTATTTGTCAGAGACTCATCAGAGTGAAAGTTTGTCATGTGGGTACAGGCATAGATGGTACAGGAAATTCCATTATGGAAATTGGATAATGGGAAATTGCCATACGGCCGATATAAAAGGCCACTGTACCTGTCTCTGTCTTTCTGTTCTTGTTTTATCGAATACTTTTTATGTATTAAATTTTCATTTATAATTCTGTTATAGGTTAGACAACGCATTTGAGGTTTCTACGTGATTTAGATTACCGAGGAAACAAATTTAATTAACCGAGGGCGTAGCCCGAGGTTAATTAATGTTTCCAAGGTAATCTAAATCACGTAGAAACCGAAAATCGAGGGGTCCGACACACTGGGAAGTCTCGTACAAGATAGTAGAAGTCACACAGAAGTCAAGTGGGAAAGAGAAGTAAACTGGAAGTCAACTGAAAAAGTCTGAAGTCCAAAAAATCTTTGGAAGTTCAAAGAAGTCAAGAAGTCAAGTGATTTTTTAAGAAGTCAAGCAAGAAGTCAAGAAGACACACCTTTCTGAATAAAATTAATATTTAATTAGTTAACCATAATAATGTTTAATTAACCATAATAATTTTAATAATTATCAAACTATTATTAATAAGCAGGCTAAAGCAGAGCACATAGTTCAAAAGCTTCAGCTACATTTGGTGTCTTCTGAGCAACTCTTGTGGTATTCACTATTCAGTATTTTGTTCCTGTAAAGTTTCGAGTACAAATCTACCTTTAAACGAAGTCTATTGGTTGCAATATACAATACATGTAAGTTCCATAATACCTGTAGTAGTTGTAGACTTTACATATTGCAATGAATTAGTAGGAATTTAATGAAATATTTCTATTAGATCTAGATACTAGGATTCAGAGACTGGCAAGTCCCACTATTTGAGCATAGTATACCTTGCTCCTGTATCCAGGGTCTATTAGACTCATTGTAAGTTCAAGTCTTTGGTAATAACGGTTAGGTTGAGAGAATCGAATGCATGGTATGGCTTGGAAGACAAAGTTATATTTATTGCATGCAAAAAGTAGATGCAATTTCATGATCTAATGGTCCTAACCAATATAGGTCTTTTACTTAAACTACTAACTTGCTGTACTAAGGGCAGTTCTCATAATCTCATCCGTGCCCTCAGTTATCTTCAGTATTCATATGTACATGTACCACCTGACTTGGTAACATTAACGCCTTTTTAAAGTTTCCAGTATTGAAAAAGAAAAGGAACGTAGCAAGTATCATAAAAGAAGAAGAAATAGACATATATTGTATATGTCGCTTACCTGATAATAGAACAAGTATGATTTGTTGCGACAGGTGTCAGGAGTGGTTCCACTTTCAATGCGTCGATATCAGTGAAAGTCATGACTTACGAGAGCAGTGGTTTTGTGACAGTTGCAGTAAACTGAATTAGATTATGTATGATAATTAACATTATTATTATGTTGATAGTAAAATTAATTATTTTTTAGTATAAGTCAATGATGGATATTAATAATTATTATTAATAGTAGAGTTTGACTACACATCAAGTACTGAGCCGGCCTGGTGCCTTACTCAGTAAAAAAGTCCAATAATTCCAATATATTATTATTATTATTATTATTATTATTATTATTATTA